TGATACGACTAACCGGTTAATCGGTCGAAAGGTTAAGGGTTAACCGATTACATTAGTTTTCTTTAAGCCCAAGAAGGTCCTTAAACAAATCAACACCAATCTATAAGGAATATTTACCCTGTGATTGAATTACATTTTAAATATTGTAAAGCTTTATTAAAATGAGAGAATGAAATCATTACAATAATAACCTTAAATTTGTTTTTTTAAAGTAAAATACTGTAAATGTTTTGAATTTAGCGTGTACGTACGATAATTTGCAGAAATCAATTTTTGGACAAGTTAGCGTTGATTTGATTAAGACAGTGCATTTCTACATGTTCCTATGTACGTATGTTTATGCAAGACGTTTAGAGTAGTATTTGGGTAAGCGGATGTTTCTTTCCGCCAAAAGCGCTTAAAAGAGTACACAGTCAAATATAATACGCTAACAGTATGGAATAGTTGGTTTCACAAATATATGGATCATGGATGTCAGACATCAAGTAATTTTCAGGGTAATTTTTTCACATTTCTTTCACTTTTTTGCAAACACTAACCTTGTGAATCTCAAGGATGCATTTTTTTATAACTTCAGGGCACTTGTTATAGTAATCTGGCCCCGGAATCATGAAACATCTTAAGCATAAGTCAAAATATTCATGCTTTACTAAAATGTTGATTAAGTCAAGGAGACTAAAAATTTACATTATATTGTATCTATTTATTCATGTACCGATTGTATTATTTTTTTCTTTTTGCATGACATATTGTTTTATATAAAGAGAGGAATTTACTAAGTTATTTAGAACTTGTTTCCAATCCTTTTGATTTATATCAATAAACTACGTTCAAAAACAACTAAAAATTAAAGTATTTGTCAATATTGCTTCACATAAGAGTTGTTATCTGCAAATTTAGATATTCATTCAATGATTAAGAAACATTTTACAGATAATTAAAAAAATGACTTAAGTTTAAGTCTGTTTCACGATCCTAGGGCCAGGACACATAACAACCCCAGGTGTTTGAGTTTCGGTATCAATTAGTTTTGACCTTGGATACCACGGCACCTATTTGAAATTCAAATCATTACAGAGAGGATTCATTATGAAGAGAGAACCTTAAAATATTATAGGCCTTTTATTTAAATTCAACATATAGTCCACAAGTTTATTTATACTCTTAAAAGGGCTAATCTATATTTCATTTTTTCCTGGAGGAAACATCTAACACCTTGAAAGTCGTCATTGCTTCCAAATTTAATGCTCCCAAAGTCAACACGTCGAAGTTTAGTGTCTGTAATTTCTTGTCTGCATTCGTTCCAAAACGTTTTTTCGTCATTATTTCCCCATAAATCACAGCATTCGATTTTTCTGTTGCAAAATTTCCTTCCACTGTCGAGCGTCTTCAATAAAGAGAGATCCGAGTTTTCTGGACGCACGCCTGCCTCCCACAGTGCTAACACTAGCTTCCGTCTACCAAGGTATACAGCAAGGTGTAATGCTGTGGGGAGCTCTTTTTTATTACGTTGAAATAAGAAAACTTTGCTATATCCAAAAAAGGTGATCAAGAATATCATGATAGTTATGGATCACTAAATAATGAGCTATTCCATTTCCAAACTAGTCAACTTCCATAAGGAGGTCATTGGTGACACAAGTTGTTTTGGTGTTTAGTAGAATACGGATAACTTTATCAAAATCATCTTCTCCTGGAAATGAAACAGTGCGTAGCAATAAGAAATCATCAAGGTGTTTATTAAGTAAGCATCTTCCCGATTTGTTCCTCCATTCAGGAACAACCCCGAATCCATATCGCAGACCAAGAAGTGCTGTCTGGAACACAGAGTATCCTTCAGTTGTTCTCTTCATTACATCCTGTCCAAGATTGATAAACTTGTGCAACAAGGACGCTCGACCACTGTATGCAGCAAGATGAGCGCATGTCCAGTCGTTTGATGTCGTTGTCGGTTTATTTGTTGTCAGAATAATTTCCACATTTTTCTCCCATCCATGTAACACACACAGATGAAGTGGAGTTATAATTACCTTTCGACTTCCATATAACGGATTTGTAATAATGAAAGAATTTTCAAATACAGGCATCGGTACGTAAAGTATACCGAGTAGGTCATGCAGGTTTTGGTGTGATTTGATGTAATGAAGGATAGAAAAAACAATGGTTTCACATTTATAATGAGCCAGACAACCCGACAAAGCATTTGCAAGGCAGTAACGTGAAATTACGAAAGGTAATCCCTCTTGAGAAATTCTATCAAGTTCATTTAAAGATAAATTTGGAATGGATAATTGTTCATCGGTTAAAACAATCGGCATCGTATTACTCGACTTTTCAGAAGGCTTTTTTTTTAATTTGTCCTTTATATGTCTATATCTTTGCATGGATTCCGAAGTAAGAAAGTGTGACCATAAAACTGTAGCATCTTGTTTACGAGAGCATCATTAAAGTATAAATAGTCACGGAATTCCTCGCACAGAAAGGAAAGAATGGATGCAAATCTAAGGGTGATATCGCGATTTAACAATACGGATAAAAACTCCGGATCATGACACACATGATGCTGAAAATAGATACTCTCTCCAAAATCGTCACTATCGTCTCCAAATAAAATTCTTTGTGCCAAGTCTTCAAAGTGACTCTGCGGTATTTTCAGGACGACTTTACCAGGTTTGCAATCATAGTTTTCTGTACGAATTAATTCAATAAATGTTTTCATACTGCACCGTTTTATTATTCTATCAGGAGCTAACTGTCTAAATGACACCACAACTGTCTCCAAAACTGTTTCATGTGAAAATACGTATTTGTTTTTTGTTTCTATGTCTGACAGATATACACCATTTAAATCATCAATCGCATCCCAAATATCTATGTCAGGGACATAAGAAATTCTCAATTTTTCACAGATACTTTTGAACAAATCAAAACTGATAGCATTCTTTGAAATGTTCCCTTGTATAAACACATAACAAAGAACACAATATGATACTTTTTCACTGTACTCAGATTTCGATTTACGCATGTATTCTATCGCATAATACGTAAACTCATTTGGATGTAAAAAGAAGGCGGGACCAAGTTGATAGAATTTGCGCCTAGAAAAGAATTGAAAACATGTCAGGGGGAATCCGTGATATGGAACAGCAGATATTATTTGGCTTTTTGCATTAGAATGCAAGTCAGTGGAGTCTTTAAAAGAGCACTTTGCTTCATAAGCTGCAAACATTTTCTCCTTATCTTGCAGTGTAAAATTCTGGTCCATGGACAGGTCAATTACTGTGATGTTGTGAAAAAAGCCTTTCATGTCATATTTTTCTGCTTCGCCTAGAATGTTCTTTCTTAAACCTATCAGTGATAAAACTTGACCTTTCGTAGCACAAGCAATTATTGCATCAAAGTTCGACTTCCATTTATAAAGGGCTACTCTGTCGAAATTCGAAGATCCCATGAAATCATCAAGAAAAACGATATGTCGCTGATATGGGTTGATAACTTTGTTCCACTCATCGGGAGAATGTATAATGACAGGATTATAGGGCGGCTCTGAAGATTCTTCTGACAACTCAAGCATCACTTGGTAAGCTGTGGTTGTTTTCCCACAACCTGCTCTCCCTGTTAGAATTAGGATTCTATTTTCTTTGAGTTTTTCTCTTATTTTATCCACAGCTGATGTTCTTATATACACGCTTCGGGTTTTTAGAGTTTGAAGAACAGCTTTGGTATTGTCTGGAAAAGGATGATTATGAAAATAAGATCACCAGATCTTGTGATATGATTATCTAAACATCATATTTTTACTTTCATAAATCATGTAAATACCTTCAATATGCATTGCATAAGAATAAGCAAAATCCGAATAATAAATATAATTTGTAAGAATACATGTATCACATTTAAAGAGGTTTAAAGTAGATTGAAAATGGAACACCAAATGATTAAATGAATAAATTCAAATTCGGATGACTTACCGAGAATATTACTTCTTTCACAAGGACGTTTTTCTGTTTATAGAAAAATTGTACATAAAATCTTTATTCAAAATACTTTGTACATTGATAAATCATAAAGAATATAATTCAAAACGATTCAAAAGAAATGGCTAAAACTTCTATTATTCATAGTCAAACTTATTTTAAGCTGCTATAATGGGTACGTGTTTATTTCAAGCTGTTTTTACCTAAAGAAGTTACACGTTCTGTAACCACTTCTATCCCCCTTTTCTGCATTTGTTGCTCAGTGTTGAATTCCAGTCCTTGTCTACGAATTTCTGACTTCAGTTCACATTCTTGTGTTTGGAGCGCAGATTTAAACTCTTTATCTAGTCTTTGTTGTTCGGATTTAACTTGGGTATCTTGTTTTTGCAGCATGAATTTTAGTTCTTCCTCTTGTTTTCGATGTTTATTTTCAAAGAAGAAGGTATGGTTTGAGCTTTATTGCGCCCTAAAAATGTAATGACATCAAAAAGTTTTGAAACTGGCTTAAATATTAGTTAAATAAATGACTCTGATAAATCAGGAAATAATATGGCATGAGGGTTTACCATTCTTCAAATATGACGTCATTAATGTGAAGCATTTCTCTATTTTCAACAGAAAAGCCTCAAAATGGCACATTTCAAGGGTGATTTTCCTTTAGAAAACAGTGTCCACAGCCGTCGCCCACGTTTATTTTTTGATATATTGTGCAAAATTCAATAACAAATCACATATCTAAAGATCTTTGTGGGCGATGCCTGTGGACAATGTTATCTGAAAGAAAATTCCATTGAAAATTGGTGTCTTCTGCAACTTTTAAAGAAAATACGGGAAAATGCACATGTTTATGACGTCATAATTAGCGTTCAAAAACACATGTGAGAAAAATAAATTGTATGATTTTTCTGCAATGAATTTCAATTTTTTGAAAAGCATGAAATTTCAACTTTTACTCTAGTTTCATTTTTTAGAAAATCACAGGGCAAAATTTGTATTGAAACCATATCTTCTTCTTCGGTTTCTTGTTCTTACAGCGCAGATTTTAGTTCTTTTTCTTGTTTGTGTAGCTGAGACCTCATCTCTTGCTCTTTTTGTAGTAGATCAGACTTCAATATGTCTTGTTCTGCTTGTAGCAGCTGATGTTCTTGGTGTATTTTCTCTTGTATTTTTATTACCTCAGTTGTTGAATCTTAAACAATATTTTTATCACTTGATTTACATATATTGTAACATAAACTAAATTTTCGTTTGAGTCGTTAAAGAGGTATTATACAAATGCAAATCGAAGCTAAAATAAGATGGTATAGAATCCAAACTAAATCATTTTCTTTATCTTAAACATTAATAAACTTTTAATATTATGAAATAAAAAAGACACGCAGTATTTTGACCAAAAACAAAGAAAATGGAAACCTTTAAGGCCCTCAAAATCTTGATGTTGTTTATCAATAACATCCAAGAGTCTCTTTTCCTGCTCTGGGTCCATAGTGTCAGTTTTAATCAGATTGGCTGCAGCTGTATACCTTGTACATTTTGCTGTTAAACCTCCCTCGAGATCACAGATTATAACTGTCATATCTTGCCAGATTCTCTGGAAATCCACATCAGAAAGTGTGACTCTGGGTGCATGTCCACAATAGGTATTTCGTATTTCTCTGATGCGATCAATGTTGGCAGAAAGGGACCGGTCAGTTAGATCTGGATGTTTACCCCATCCTTTCTGGTGGGGAGGTATCCCCGATATATTTCTCAATAAAATATATAACAAAGATAAATCAAATTCTTCATACGTTCCCTGAAATAGTCCTGTGTTTGGATACAATAAATTCCTTTGGTCTTTGTTGGTAATTTGTAATAAAGTAGCTTTGTGATTTGGAAGGGCATATGGAAATTGGACTTCAGTTATGAAGGTCCTGAGAAGGTCCCTGAAGAGATCTGTACATGGATCCAACAACAACCTGGACAGACGGGCGGCGTGGGTTGTCTCCTTTGTTGATTTGTATTTACTGCAAGCCATTGTTATCTTCCCCTGAAAACAGAGAAAGTTAAATATAGACAAAGTTGCAGAAAGAGAATTATTATTGTATTGAAAACCTTCTTGACAGATCAATTACTATTGTATATTCATACTAAAAACGAGTTTGTACGTGAATAATAAGTTTTTAGTTACGTTACTTTTACAAAAATTTCTAAAAGTTTTCGTTTTTGTATCCATATTGTGCATTATAAAATAATTCAATGTCATAATTTATAATTGACGGGCTTCATAGTTACCTGGGTCGGTAGGATATTTATTCCTGCTAACAAGCATACGCAAGCGCTCAGATAAGGCAAGATGATATTTTCTTCTGAAATAAAAATGAACTCTAAAAAATGTGCTACACAAACAAACATTTTTTCAGAAATCAGCATTATTTCTCATAAAGTTACATTTGAATTGACAACCTGAATAATGTTTACCAAGTAGAGTTGGAGAATTTTATAAGATTTTGTCATCAAGTTAAAAAATTGTGCAAAAATTTGTATGGAATTATATAGAAGGCAAAATTAAATCTCAAATCTAAGCACCAAGGAAAACCTACGATTTCTTTATATCTCAGGGATTTATTATTCATGTCATTACAAATCAAAATCAGTCAAAAAATATATATCAACCCGCACATCCATTTTTTGTTTGTGGTAAGTACCATTCATTCACTTTTGAAGCAGTCAGATTAAGGACAGATGTTACAAACAATTTTTTTCTTTGGAAGAGACTTAATATCATGCCATAAGTTCAGAAAAGTGGATATTTCTTAGATTTTTTTCTTCAAAGAACTGTAAAATGAAATAGAATTGGAAAATATTAGTAATATTTCAATAAAATTACATATATTGATAAAACACACTCAGTCAAGGTTTACAGATGAAAACAAATTTTAGATTATGTTAAATTAGTGCAAAAAGTGTTAAATAAATTTTAGAAAGGTATACAAAGCCAGGTGAATTTTATCTAGAAAAGCAAAATGGAATGGTAAAAATGAAACTATATAACATTGCCGAATTCTTTTCATTTTGTTTGTCCTCATCAAATTCACCCGGCTTGGTATATTTTTCTAAATTTTATATTGCACTTTTAGTGCCAAGATAACATATTCCAAAATTTGTTTTCATCTGTAAACCTTTACTGAGTGTGATTTGTCTATATTTGATTTTTTATTGAAATATTACTAACATTTTCCAAGTCTATTTCATTTTGCAGTTCTTTGGAGAAAAGATTCTAAGAATTATCCACTTTTCTGAACTTATGACATGATATCAAGTCTCCTCCAAAGAAAAGATTTGTTTGTATCATCTGTCCTTAAATGAAGACAATTACATTAAATACAAGATTCCATTAAGTTTAAGCGTGGTTTACTATAGTTTATTCTTGTAAATACTTTTACACTTTGATTTACTATGAAACTTTACACTAGATATGTTTTCTTTTAGATATTTAATGTTCAAAATCCCCCCAAATCTAAATTTATTATTAAAGAATTAATAATGTCCCTGTCATTAGGATAAGACTGTATTAGCCGAGGTCCCTTGATGCAGTAGGTATTGGCATGAAAAAAGTTCCCTTACTCCTCAATGGGCTTAGTTCCGAGTATGGGTCAAAAATTGTAGCTTTCCACAGGCAAGTGGTGGCGTAATCCTTTAAATTAAAAATCAAAAAATAATCATCAATTAAAAATTTTGACATACTGTATTAGATTTTTTTTATGTGAAATGCTGATGATTCATTTAAATAACATGTAAATGACTTTGTTTGTATCATCTGTCCTTAACTCAACAATTCTATTGGTTCCTATCATAATGTATGTATGTATCACTTTATGACCTATAATGAGGAACTAGAATCATTTATTATTATAAAAAATACACTTAATTGTTTTCACAGTCATATTTTATGTGACGTTGACTCAGGTTTTTGGTACAATGGTTTTAATACTCTTTATCATTTTTTCCTACTTTCGGTTTAACTTTTCCCCAATTTTCATCGATCGTTATTACACATTTGAATGTAGATCTTTCCTTTACACTTATGTTTAACAATGTATCATATCCTGTTTTCTTTTTTTCCGAGTAGTAATATTCCTATTTGTTCATAGTTTAAGTAAATTACCTGGTCAGCTCAAGAAAATTTCCTGGCCAGTTCTGTAAGTTTTAGCTGCGTGTAACTTCCTGTGAATTCTTGGCCGTAAGAGAGTTGTTACAGTTGAACAATTCCTTAAGAAGGACAACTCGCCCAAACATTTAACATGAGACAACTGGTGTTTCAATGTTGTACGATGCAATAAAATTTAAACGACTGATTATATAAACAAACTTTTTTCATAAATCATGACGTAATCAACTAAAACCATGCCTATGTAAGTAAAAAAAAGGAAACAGATATGCCGCATTTAATGTTAATTTTACAACAAAGTTTCACAATAAATAATACGGCCTATAAAGTGCTAAAAAGATGCATTATTTTTTTAAACAGGGATAATTGTGGAGTGGGGATCAAAACTTGAAACATCGCCCGTCAATGGTGCCATCACTGAAGTTTTCAAACAGGTTACGACACTTCCTGTAAGACCAATCTACAGGAAGTTTCGTGTTGCTTTGACAAATATTAAGGTAGGTAGTATTACACGACAATAGCTGGAAAAAGCAATACTGGACCACATAAAGAAGTTCATTTGAGGGTGATGTGAGCTAGGGTGTTGATATGTGATTTTTTTTTTTCAGATGAGAGTAAAATTATAATGGGGCATGATGACAGAATAAGGATTTGGAGAAAAAGAACGGATCTTGTTCAGCAGAGGACTTATGGGTCCAAAAACGAAGTCAGGATATGGGAATGCATCTGCAGGGAGGGTGTTGGAACTACTTTATTTTTGGATAAGATGCCTTGAAAGTCATCATATAAGGATATTTTTTTATTAATGTTAAGATGAATTTGCACTTCGCTCTTATTAGCAATAATAAAAGTCTCAGTATCTTTCTTATATTTTTTGACAAAATACTGTGAAAATTTAAACATCATCATACATAACTGCAATCTGATTGGCTTAATCTTTAAATTGCTAAAACTTCGTTGGTTCTAAATAAAACAGGAAGAAATTTAGAATGTGATAGGTATTATGGATTCTTACATTATGATTCAATCAAAATTGAATGCAAGGACATGCAGGCACGTCAAATGAGTAATGTTTAAATGACCAATGTACTTGAAAAACGGTAACATTCACGTCTAATTTTTTTTAATTCTCATGATGTCTAGATATGCTGATCATGTAGACAACATGTCATGATCACCTTGCATATGCATTCAAGTGCACACGCATGCAACAAATGAAATGAAATATAGTTGAAATCATTGTAACTTTTATATTCTTTTATGAAATCCTTTGATACTTAGGAAATATACCGTATATCTGGTGGGGTTTTTTCGTGAAGATCTCTCTTACGCATTTTTACGATCATTTTTAATTCGCAAAATATAAAATACGCAGAAATCTTGTCAGTTATAATGTGACATAAAAAATTACCATTTGAAACAAAATAAAATTATTAATCGTAAAAAATAACTTACGCAGAATAAAAACTTCTGATCGATCCCTTTTTCGCAAAATTTCCAACACACAAAAAAACCGGATATACGGTAAAATATTACATGAATAATGCACACAAGGGGACTTGGGGAGCCTGTGGGGATCATCTGTAACGGTCCCCGTTACAATTAACGCTATTTGTCTTTGTGCTGACACTATTTCTTGTTTTTAAAAGATGTGTTTTAATAAAGAAAAATTTAAACAGTTTTCATTTTGTGATGTGGTGATTTTCACAATAGAGTTATCTCTCTTTGTTTTCATACACTGTTTGTCATTGAGGGTAATTTCCACATCTATTTTTAGTAACAGAAATTCTGTAAGCTGAAGTATTTAAGATTTTCATTTAAAATAATTTTTGTCATTGTCATTTTTCTAATAATGATGGAAAATACACATAAGTTTTTATTTAAATGTATTGTTTAATATTTTGATAATTTCAACATCACTTCCTGTGATCACGTGACTTCATAGTTTATGATTTTGCACGAAATGTTTCGCGCTATGAAGGCTGTGTGTTTAACTGTAACATTGTTGAAGCTGAATTATATCTCTAGCTAGGTGTACCAACTGTAAGTTTACATTTTTTAATATAGCTTTGCTCATGATAGTAAAGTATGTTTTGGTAGGTTATTTTAATATTTGTAAAGTCTGAAAATATTTATTTTAATAGAATAAGTTCAGCATGTTTTGTTGATAAACGTTCCATATAATATTGGCTATTCATTTTATTTCTAGTGATGTTTAATAGGCTTTTATTATGAAGAAGTTTAAAATTATTTTACGAGATAAACTTTTGTTGTTGTTTACAACTTTAATTAGAGGTAACATAGGTATATTGATTTTTGGTTAGGTTGTACAGTATCACTGTGGTCGACGGTGACCTTGACCTGAGTTTATGCATTGAGGCCCTAGTTGGGGTAAGATTTATATGAAAGCATGTTATATATTTATTCATGAGATTATTATGAGTGTAATATGTTATAAATCTTTATAATGAAAAGGTCAACTGTCTGTCATATTTTGTAAAATTATTTTTATTCATTTTTTAGTAATGCATCATTACATTCATGTGAATTTACATTTGTGAGTAATTTCATGTTTTTTTCTTATTTTTCATTTGTACAGCACACTGTCATTACTGCCAATATCATTACCATTATCATAATTTGTAATATCATTGATATTCATAATTAATAATCTTATAAAAAGAACAAATCTGGTTATCACAAATGGCGTCGTGGACAGGATAAATTAATGGTTAACTCGGATTATATGGCAGTGTGATGTGCATAATTTAGGTCTCCACTATCAACATGCGAGTTAATGGTTCAGTGACGATATGATGTGAAGAGCTGTTTCGGACCACTAGACCAACGTAAGATTTATTCGGTAGGACATTTTCAGTGTATTATTTATCACCATGTCGGAAGAAGAATTAAAAACCAAATTGACATTTCAAACTATGAAGACTGAAAAATTAGAACATGAACTAATAAAAGCAAACACCATTATTGAAAAATTAAATGCCGATGTACATAACATGAGTTTCGCTAAATCAGAAGAACATAAAACTGTTTTCATAGCAAGGGAGAAGAAAATACCAAAACTGTGTGGACGACCTATAAGTGTTAATGACCCAGACATATGCGAGTGGATTCATGATGTAAAACAACACTTAAAAACAATTGAACCATTAGATGCCAAACTTGATTTCATTTACGACAACATTGGTGGACAATGTAAGGACGAAATACGCTTACGACCAGAGAACGAAAGGGATTCTCCAGAAAAAATATTTAACATTATACGTTCAGTGTTTACTAATTACCAAACTATTGCAGCACTACAACAACAGTTTTACCAGCGCAACCAAGAACAGGGTGAAACTCTACAAAAGTACTCACTGGCATTGATGAAGCTTATGAAGAAGATCCACAACAAGGATTCAAGTGTGATTACCGATAAGGACACAATGTTGAAAGAAAAATTCGTTGATGGAATTCGGGATGACAGTCTGAGAAGAGAGATGAGACGTTACTTACATCAGTTCAAGGATATAAACTTTCCTAAATTTAGAGAGACAGTGATTGACTGGTCGGAAGATTATAGAAGTCGTAATCTACCACAACAGTGTTCATCAGAAGGAGCCAAAGTACAGTTAGTTGATTCGTTAGAAGACATAAAGAAGTTACTACTGAAGCAACAACAGCAACTGGACAGACACAACAGAGAATTGCAGACGCTAACAGAAAAGTTCAATTCTACCGCAAGATGTGCAGAACCCAAACAGCCTAAGAGACAGATTGACAATGTTAAGAAAAACTATGTGACATGTTTCAAGTGCAGTGGCAAGGGTCATAAAGCAAATCAATGTCCATCTGTTTTCCCATCAGAAGCTAGGAAAAGCAACTCCAAGCAAGATGTTAATAAACAGGGGGAATAACAACTTCTGTAGTGAAGAGTCGAACTGCAGGAGTGGAAATTGAAGACTCGCAAACAGATATTTGTGACAGAGTTTTTGACAAAGGAATTGGACCTTGTCCCGTTAAGTCAGTGAAAATTGAAAACCAAGATACAATGTGTTTGTTAGACACTGGTTCTCAAATTTCAACAGTGACAGAAACATTTTTTAGAAGTCTACTTGATAATAAGCCAAAACTTCATGATGTTACTTCTTGGATGAAGGTGACTGGAGCTAACAACCTACCTATTCCATACCTTGGATATGCGGAAGTTGAGATTAGCATCCCAAGTATAGTCACAATTCCAAATGTTGGTGTATTGGTTGTGAGGGATCCCGATGACGATTTTGGTCGAGAACGGAAGAGCCGAGTACCAGGAGTCCTTGGAAGTAATTTCTTCAAACTTCTGAAAACTCATTTGGAGTCCGTGTCTGATACCAAAGATAAACTTTTGTGTGACGCATGGAATGTTGTGTTATCCATGTATCAAATGACATCAGAAGTTAACAGGCTTAGTTTTGCCAAAGTTGGACGAATTCCAGTAAAAGTACCAGCTGAATCCATGGTGACTGTGATGTGTACTACACGACAAAGCCGAGGATGTTCGAATGTACTAGTACAGGCAATTCAAAGTCCTCATGGAAATTTACCACGCAATGTGATGGTGATAGACTCTTATTCAGAGACTTCAAATGGAAGAGTGCCAGTACGAGTGATAAATTTAGGGACTGAAGATGTGTGGTTAAATCCTAAGACGAGGATAGGGACAGTTCAAGAAGCAGAAATAGCAGATTCCTTACATAATTCTGTTCAAGTGACAGTGAAGGATAATGAAATTCAAGTCCAAATTGATGGAGAGACAGAAATAGATTCAGATATTACCGAAGATGGAAATGGAAAGATCAAACTACACGGACATGACTTTGATATAGATACCACTCTTAGTAGTGAACAACAGCGAAAACTTGCACACTTATTGCAGAAACATAAAGCAGCATTTTGCAAAGATGAAGACGACTTAGGATTTACAGCCACGGTAAAGCACCGCATAGAACTGACTGATAACAAACCCATCGCTGTTCCACATAGACGGGTACCACCCCACATGATGCAAGAGGTGAAACAGCTCATTCAGAAGTTCCTTGATCAGCAAGTAATTAGACCAAGTACTAGTCCATACGGAGCTGCAGCTGTATTGGTTCGGAAAAAGGATAAATCACTTCGTTTATGTGTAGACTTTCGTCTTCTTAACCAAAAGACAGTAAAGGATGCTTTTCCCTTACCGAGAATTGAAGAGTCATTGGATGCTTTATGTGGATCAAAGTATTACAGCACCATTGATTTAGCGCAAGGTTACTATCAAGTCGCATTAGATGATGAGTCGATACCAAAGACCGCATTCCGTATAGGATCCGGAGGATTGTACGAATACCTTAGAATGCCTATGGTTTGTGTAACAGTCCAGGAACTTTTCAACGTTTGATGGAAGCATGTCTTGGAGACAAGAATTTTGAGTTTCTACTGATATACTTAGATGATATTTTGGTCTACTCATCAACTTTTGAACAACACCTAGAAAGACTTGATTTTGTATTTTCAAGACTGACCAAACACGGTTTGAAAATTAATCCAAAGAAGTGCCATTTCTTCAAACAAGAAGTCAAGTATTTGGGACATAAAATTTCCAGTAAAGGCATTGAAACTGATCCCAGCAAAATATCTGCCATCACTTCTTGGACTAAACCAAAATCTGAGAAGGAATTGCGTTCATTCTTAGGATTATGTTCGTACTACCGAAAATTTGTGAAGAACTTTAGTAAAATAGCTGCCCCATTACATGCTATCCTTACCAAACAGGAGAAGAAAACCAAGCGAACAAGGATAAAAACGGTAGATGGTTCATTTTGTGTGAGATGGAATGAAGACTGTGATCATGCATTTATGAAGTTGAAAGAAGCACTTACGACAACTCCTATCTTGGGATACCCGGACTTCAAGAGACAGTTCATCTTGGAAATTGATGCAAGTTATGACGGGTTAGGCGCAGTGCTATCACAAGATCAGGATAAAGGGCGTGTTGTCATAGCATACGCCTCAAGAAGTCTTCGTCCAACAGAGAGAAATATGTCTAACTACAGTTCTATGAAGCTTGAACTACTTAGTTTGAAATGGGCTATAACAGAAAAATTTAGAGACTATCTGTTAGGAGGAAAATTCGTTGTTTACACAGACAACAATCCGTTAAGCCATTTTAAGACTGCTAAGTTAGGATCCGTAGAAATGAGGTGGGCTGCTCAACTGGCGCAATTTGACTTTGAGATCATGTTCAGATCAGGACGTTCAAATAGGAATGCTGACGCACTTAGTCGAAAAACTGTTCATGCAGAATCCATTACAACGCAGGAAATGTCAGTGGCATGGTGTGCAGATAAAACAGAACATGTATACTCAGAAGAAATTCTTACCGATTTGGTGAAAAGTACAACATTAACTGATGTTCAGAGCCTGCAGTCTAAGGAAAAATCAAAAGATAATTCTGAGTTTACAGCAACTAAGATGTTTCCAGAATTTTCCAAGGAAGAGCTTGCAAAATTACAATTGGAAGACATTTCGTTGGCTGCTGTTTTATCGTGGTTAAAGAAAGGACATAAACCAACATTGAGATTAATTGGGAAGGAACCACCCAATGCACGAAAACTACTGCATAAATGGGACAAACTAGTTCTCAAAGATAGTGTTCTGTACAAGAAATGTCAAGACTCAGAGGGAGAATTTTTACAGTTAATACTTCCAGAATCCTTGAAATATCAAGTATTGGACTCTCTGCATAATTATTCTGGTCATCAAGGAATTGAGAGAACTTTCGCACTTGTGAAAAGGAGATGTTTTTGGCCAGGTATGTATTCCGACATTCAACATTGGATCAAGAAATGTGAGCGCTGTATGATTGCCAAAGCTCCTATACCAACTGTTAGACCGCCAATTGGAAGTTTGATAGCTCATAAGCCATTGGAAATTGTCGCCATAGATTTTACTCTCCTCGAGAAATCTAGTGATGGAAAAGAAAATGTGCTTATCATAACAGATGTGTTTACAAAGTTTACACAAGCTATAGTGACCCCAAACCAAAAGGCAGTTACAGTGGCAAAGGTATTGGTGAAAGACTGGTTTTTCAAATTCGGCATACCTCATCGTATTCATTCTGATAGAGGAAGGAATTTCGAAAGTGATGTAGTCAAGGAATTGTGCAAGATATATAACATTCAAAAGTCAAGGACGACTCCCTATCACGCCATTGGGAATGGACAATGTGAGCGATATAATCGTACGTTGCATGACAGATTAAAAACTTTACCACCCGAGAAGAAAAAGCGATGGCCTGATTATTTAGCTGAGATGACATACATCTACAATGCAACTCCACATGCGTCTACAGGTTTGTCGCCATACTATTTAATGTTCGGACGAAACCCACGTTTACCGATAGACTTGCTTTTAAATTCAGAGGAGAATCAGGAAGGTGTGGATGACTGGATTCTAGAGCATAACAAGAAAATGCAGGATATGATGAAGTTAGCTTCAGATAACATAGAGAAAAATGCTGAGAATAGAAGAGATCGTTATAATGCTAACGCACATAAAAAACCTATTCCAGTAGGATCCATAGTGTTACTGAAGAATCACATTTTGGGCAGAAACAAGATT